ATACTCACGGGAATATCACCCAGCCATAAAAAGAAAGAAATACTGCCACTTGTGACAAAATGGATGAATCTGGAGGACTTCATGCTAAAGGGAAATTAAGTCAGACAGAGAAAGGCAAAACTATACAATATACATGGAATCTTAAAAATCCAGCAACAAAACAAAACTGATTTTATAGAAACAGAGAACAGAATGGTAGTTGTCAGGGGCTGGGGGGAGGGGGAAATGAGCTGATACAGGTCAAAGGGCACACATTTTCAGTTATAAGATGAGTAGGTTTAGAGCATAAAATTATATCATGGTGACTCTAGTTAATAATATGGTATTGTATACTTTAAAATTCCTGAAAATAGATATTAAGCCTTCTCATCACATAAATGACAGAGGAATCTATGTTAACTATGGGAAGTGATGGATCTATTATCTTCATCGTGGTCATCAGTCCTTAATGTATACACGTATGCAATCATCTCTTTAAATATGTACAATTATATTTGTCAATTTTTCCTTTATAGTTAAAATAAAAATAATTTATTAATGCATATATATTTATGTTTTCAAGTATGTATATGGCTTCACATTCAATATTATGAAATATATAGCATATTCTATTGATCACATATTTATCTAGGATAAAAATCACAAATATTATGCATTAGATTAAATAAGCAAGAAAAGACTATATCACATGCTAAAGATAGTTTTCAATGAAGGGTTCTACACAAAGAAAACAAATGTAAGGTCTGTTATGGATAAATACTGAGGACAAATGAAAGGAAGGGTTCTTGAATTTTCCTTGTCTCCACCACTCCTCTTTTTTAACAATAGAATACTTTCCTCTTGGGCTCTATGTGACCATCTGTCTACTACAGGGTGACTGTGGGTGTTAAACTAGATGCTGCATCCTAGATAAAGAAAGCAGTGCGCTAACACATAACAGATGCTCAATCAACAACAGATATTTTTATTGTCCATGGGGGATAATATGAGAGTGGAGAGTTAGCTGCTGTAATAGTAACAGCTATAGTTACTAGTAGCATGGAAATGAAAGAAAAAAGGTAATCCCTGTGATAACCAGAAAAGATTTTCACTTTTAAATTTTAGTTATATTCTGCAAGTCTTTCTCAGCATGTTTATGAGCTAAAATTCCTTCACAAAGAGATAAACTAAATGTCTCCTTATAGATAGAACAAAGATTTAGTAAGTGAAAAATAATGTTAACGTTCCATTGGTAGATCAACTTGCTACTTTTCACAATTACTAACTTGCTTCTAAAAATAATCTCAAGTTTAAATTTAAACCCAACTTGTTTTTTTCCCATTATAGAAGGATACTTACTGCTCTAACTCCATAATCAAATCGACTATATAGATTGAGGCTTATTTTTTTATATAATTTAAGCATTTTTGTTGCCACATAGCAAAGAAGTTTGGTTTTATTCCCCCCAAAGGGACTTGCATTTGCCAAACCAAAGGCTTATAGCCTAACATTTAAGAATTGCTTAATAGAGCTGTTATTTAAAGATGTATGGATGTGTGAGAGGCATTGTTACTTAATTAGCATCTCCAAACTGGTCTAATTATCAGTCTGAGCTCACATTTCTTTCACAGACCTAGAGTCCTTTGCTTCTTAGGTCTGCACACAAATCTGTATTCTCTATGAGGGAAGGCTAGGGTTGTGCTTACTGTGACAACAAAAGATTGTGAAATTGATGCAGTACTAGCATAAAAGAATAAGAGTTAACAATTTCCACTGTGTTTAACTCATAAAATAGTTTACAGGATCTGGTGGCTCTGTAAACTGTTTCCTGACAAAGTCCAGTACATCTGGCCAGCCTGCTGTGGAAGCAAAGTACTTCATTTTCAGAGAATATTCTTGGAAGGGTAATACATTGGGGGTTATTTTATTGTATTTTGCATGTTAAGTACAAAACAGTTGGCTCTGAAGTTTTTTTTCCATCACATTTTACTACCATACTAAACATCTTGTCTCAGGTAATACTATGCAATTCCCATTTCACTTTGCCCCTGGCTTCCTCCGCATCTATTTTGGCTGCACTCATGCATCTCCAGCGTTCAGAGATGAGGCCCCGGCAGTTCTAGTCAGGGAAGAGGAGCCCCGCCAGAGCCTATGGGAACCGAGGCCTCGGACACCCCCTACCTGCAAAGACCCACGTTATGGCTGGAACCAGAACCCTGGGCGAATTCTTCAAACGACAAAGGGTTCGGCGTGAAGTCTGGAGGAATCAGACAGACTTCCACTCTGTTCTTCTGAACTGCATGGGCCCACTTACAGTGTATTCCTGAACAGCCTATCAGCAAAGGCATAGGAAGCAAGTCAGAGGACGGAGATTTTTTTTTTAACGACATTTTTAGAGGTTGGGTTATAAAGAGAGTGTCCATTTAGATATTGTTTAAGGGCGGCATGGACTCCACAGCCCAGTGGTCCTGGCAAAGGTTATGAAGACAACGATAAGCGATGATAACCTGACTGCAAGTTAAATCATCCTGGCAGAGTTGTTGGAACAGGGGCGATCTGCCAAAGCAAGGGTGCGGCTCCACCTTCTCAGGGGCTGGGCATTGCAGGACGACCACCGGAGAGATCGATTGCTATCGCTCCCTTTTCCCAGAGGCCCGGGCTGCTTTGTGGGGGTCCAGGAAGAGCTCCGCAGACCTCACCCTTGTCCCCACCGTCCCCGAACCCGCGGCAGGGAGGCCCCGGCGCCCGTAGGTGGCGCCCCGCGTCCGTACTTGCGCTCCTCGCCCGCCCGCGCTCAGGGCGCAGCTCGGAAACCCTGCGCGTCTCCCCAGGTCGCAGAGCTCAGAGCAGGCGTTTCAATAAGGAAGCGCGGGTGCCAGCGCGCGCCGGCAGGTCCGGAGGAGCAGACACGGAAACCCAGGCGGAGGCGCCTCTAATCCCCGCCCAGACCTGGCAGTTCCCACACTGGAGCTTCTGGAACCACAGCTTTTGCATCACTAAGATATTCCAAGATCTTTCTCTTCATCCCAGTCCTCATTTTTTTCTTTTTCTTTTCTTTTTTTTTTTTTTTTCTTAAAGAAAACTGCTTTACGCATTAATTATGAAAGTGATCGCGCTATTCAGGATTAAGACTTGGAGGGGATTTGAAAAAGAAAAGCGACAATCGAAAAGAAGAGGAGCGACCGGCGCTTTGGAGGTTGCCTAATTGTTTGAAAGCGAGACATCTGGGAAGATTTCGCGCTGGGTGTTTGGGTGAGAGCGGGACCTGGGCGGTGCGGGGTCAGCGGGGTGCGGGGCGCAGGTGCCCAGCCCGGGAGGAGGCGGCGCGCGCGGGGCGGCGTGGAGGCGGGAGGAGCGGCCGGGACCGAGGGGGTCTGTGGAAAGAGGCAGCTGCGCGCACCCAGGCGGTGCGTACAGGATGCGGGATGCCAGGCGGAGCGGACGCGGAACGTACCGGTGAGGAGCGCGGGGCGGTCGCGGGGTGGGGCGCGGCGCGGGACCCGCGGGTGCGGGGCGCCGGCCGATCCGGGGTGGGGCGCCGCGCGGGGCGCGGGCCGGCGCGGGAAAGCAGCGCGGCGCGGCGGGGCGGGGCGGTTTCTGGCCGCGCGCGGGGAGAAGGGTCGCGCTCCGTGTCTCCTCCCGCCAGCTCCGGCTCGTCTTCTCCAAGCAGAACAACTTGGCGGACAGCGGGGCTCGCTCGTCATGGATGTTCCAGGTAACCCGACCTGCCCTCCGCGATCCGCGCGTTCACTGCATCCGCGAGTCCGTTTCCACGAGGACGGTCGCGGGTCTGCGGCTGGGCGGGGAGAGCCGGAGAGCTGCTGGAAACCGTCCTGTTCAGGGGCTGAGGAGGGAGGCTGCCCGTGGAGAAACAACTTGTCTCTTCTTAGAAAGATTGTTTGGACAGCCGGAGGAGTTGTTCGGCGGCTGTGGGCGGCGAGCGAGAGGTTTCTTCGCTTTTTTTTTTTTTTTTTTTGGTTTCTCGACTGGATATTGAAATGATCTGCTTAGTTTAGTGGGGGAAGATGGGACCGGATGGAAAGTGCGAACAGGCGCGTAAGTTGGCAGAAAGCTGCAGGGGATGCTTCCTGGCCGGGAGAAAGCCCCTGGAGTCTGGAAACAAAAGCTGCAGAGAAGCCGAGCTTGGGGTTCCCACCGCCGGAAACCTCGGGTCCTGCGCCAGAGACGGGGATGCGAGGTGCTTCTCCGGAGCGGCTCGCCGCCGCCAAGCCGGGACGTGGGAAGCGGTTACTAGGTTTTAGGATGTCCCTGTCTTTGGGGGTTTTGTTTTTGCTTTTTCTCCCATCTTAATCTTATTATTCACCCGAAGGAGCTTCCTGGGGACTTGTTCTTTGGGTGGAAAACGGCTAAGATCTTGCGTAAATGGATTGCTTAAAAAAAAAAAAAAAAAACTCTAGGTTGGAGAAATAGAGGATGGAAAGGAAAGCAGAGACGAGAAAAAGGTTTCTTGGTGTGACTTTAAAAAAATGCTGCCGAAATTAGAGCGGTTAAGGCTCAGTGGATTTTTCCGCCGCCTGCGTCTTGGGTCCCCCTCTGCCTTGGGCTGAATGGGCTGGGGGTGGCGCGGACCGCGTCCCTGAGGGTCCCTGACCGTGTCATTATTGATAGGCCCTGCGGCTTCGCGAGCCCCTTCCCCGTCCGCACCCCCGGCACGCGCCCCTCCCCGGGAGCCTCCAGGGATGCCCGGGCCGGGGCGCCCGGCGTTTCTGGGGACCTGTTGTGCCAGTCGGGGAGGGGGTAGCAGTGCGAGGGACCCAGAGGGTGGCCTCCAGGGAGGGGCCCCGAGCGCCGCGGGGACTGGTCCCCGCACCTCCTTCCCACGCAGCTTCACCCCCCGTCTCGTGGTTTGGCTTCTCTGCCCTGACAGGTCCGCTGGCGCTCTCCTTCTAAGGACCACCCTGGCCTTGACCATCAGAGCCGGGGACCGAGGCCAGAGGAGGCTCCCCCCGGCCCGGCGCATTCGCGCGCGCCCTTCTGCTCTCCGCGCGCCCCCAGCCCGGATGTCAGCGCCCGACCCGGGCCCCCGGGGGCCGCCGCTGACCATGCCCGGGCGCCGGGGGGCGCTGCGCGAGCCTGCCGGCTGCGGCTCGGGCCTGGGGGCGGCGCTGGCCCTGCTGCTGCTGCTGCTGCCCGCCGGCTGCCCGGTGCGGGCGCAGAACGACACGGAGCCCATCGTGCTGGAGGGCAAGTGCCTGGTGGTGTGCGACTCCAGCCCGTCGGCGGACGGCGCCGTCACCTCCTCGCTGGGCATCTCGGTGCGCTCCGGCAGCGCCAAGGTGGCCTTCTCCGCCACGCGGAGCACGAACCACGAGCCGTCCGAGATGAGCAACCGCACCATGACCATCTACTTCGATCAGGTCAGCGCGCGGGCCTGCCCTCGCCTCCCGCCGGGCGCGCGGCTGGGTGGCCGGCTTCCCAGACGCGGAGCTCCAGGCTCTCCCCTCCCCTCTGCCCTGCCTTTCTCCCTTCTCCCTCGAGCTCTCCTTTTCACACTGTCGCTGCTCAACAACTCATCAGCTCGGTTGGCACTCGGATGACTGAGAGTCCTGTGGAGCCGGGCGTCCCGCTGAGCTGAGAGCCGATAGACATTTCCAAAGAGAAACCAGTTTTCGCTGGAGTTGGGGCCGCCCTTATGGGGGGTGGGCTCCTGTCCCCCTCGCTGGCCACTGAGAGACTGAGTGCATTTAAACTCTCCTCGCTAACCCCGGGGGGTTCTCCGAAGGTCTCAGCCCAGGCTCAGAGAAGAAGTACGTATTATTTATCTCAGAATGGATCCCAGAGAGGATGCTTAACTTCAAGAGAAATAAGTGGAGAAGAGTGTGGGGAAATAGCAGCCATGGTTGTTCAGAAACAGAAGGAAACAGAGTGTGGTTATATAAATGTAATATGTGGTAAATGCAGTATATACAAGTAACATATAAATACAGCACGTCAATATCAAATATGGTGGGGTTATATAAAGAAAAACTGAAGAGCAATGAAGTTGCCTTAGCCACCCAACTCCCAGTCCCTTCAAAACAAAAGGGCCCCTGATGTGATCAGCACTTGGCAACCCCTTCTCTGGGTCACTGCTGCCCAGGATTTAGAGGTCCTCATCTTTCCCTCTCTCCCTACCTTGGTTTCTGTTGTTTTTCAGAACCAAACAGGAAACAGAGTGGTTTCCAAACTTAGCCTAATCATCCCATTCATTTGGCCACAAGCCTCCCACCTGGAGCTCTGGCCTTACTGAGCACACTTGATTGAGTTCCTTTCTCTCTGTTAACTGGCTTTCGGACCTGGGTGACCACCCAACTGCACAGACCAACGCCTCATTTTAGGCCAATGTCTTCATTTGCTTTAATCCTTGTTAAGGATTATGTATTTGAAATTTGGAGAGGTGTGTACAGGATGGGATGGGGGTGTCACTCTTTAATCTGTTTTTTTTTTAAATGAAACATGCATGTATTTATTTTAATTATGTCCAACTAAAGCAGGCAATGAATTCGTTTCCACCGTGGTTTTATAATACATCGTCCCTTCATTTGGATGTTAAGAAAACTTGGTGATGTACATGGGATAAGCAGTAGTAGGTTTTTCATTTTATAGATGAGCCAACTATGACAGGGCAGATGAAATGATGTCATGCACCAATTAGGGAGGAACTGAAACCGGCTTTTCTGGGGCTGGTGGGTGTTTGTTCCTCTACAGCAGGGCCCTGAATTTACCAGTTCCCTGAATTAGATGTGGAGGTGAGAGAGTTGAGGTCATTGAGTTGGGAGCAGCACCAAGGGCTTGGAGGAGGAGGCTTGGTTCTTTGAGGCTTGTAAGGCAGTCGGGACACAGCCTCAGAGAGAGGAGGACTTGCATCTTGAAGCTCCCCGTCTTTAACAGCAGCACCCGAGTGTCTCAGCCCGGCAGTCAAGGAGGGGCTCAAGTGTGCTCAGAGCTCCTTGAAGAAGTTGATGTGGCTCCTTCCACAGCCCTCCCAGCCTTCCCAGTGGCATGGCTCTGGGAGCCACGTGTGATCCATCTGTAATGAGTGTGTAGGAAACAGCAGCCAAGCGTATGGTGCAAATTTGTTTTCTGAACAGACAGGGTCTCTAATCTAGGGTTCTGCTGTTGTTGTGGGCTGTGTGTTTTATAAACAGAACAGGAGGCGGGGCCATTTTATGATTTTAATTGGGTTGTGCATTTGTGGGTGAGGAGGGGTCCAGACAGGGAAGAACCTTCAACATCTTACAAGGAAATCTGTTCATAAAGGGGTATCCTCTGATCAAGTCACTCTCATCCATCATTTTATTGGAGAAATAGCATCTGGAGGGTCATGTGGTTTCATATCTCATGGCTCATTTTGTCATTGTTCTTGCACTTTGTGGAATTTGAGCTGAGGGTGTCAGGCTGCCTTTCTTTCCACTCTCTGGGTGGTTACTGATGCTTCTGAGCGTTATGTCACAGCCCAGCGTAGGGACCAGACACCTCATGTGGAGGAAAGTGAGGGGAGAGGGGCACAGCCAGTGTTTGTGGGCTGTGGTCCTTCACCCAGCAGCATTTATTGAGCACCTACTGTGTGCTACTAGGGGCAGTCCCTGGGGCTGGGAGACAAAACCTCACACCATCCCTTCCTTCCCAAAGCACACAGAGCTCATCCCAAGCTTTATCTGATGGAATTTAACTCTGGTAATGGGCCTTTGGGAGAAGGAAATGGCAACCCACTCCAGTATTCTTGCCTGGAGAATCCCATGGACGGAGGAGCCTGGTAGGCTACAGTCCACGTGGTCGCAAAGAGTAGGACACGACTGAGCGACTTCACTAATGGACCGTTTACTTCACCACCCTTTCTCCTCCCACTCAGGACAGAGCTCTGTTTTTGTCCAGGCTTCTTATTCAGGTCCCCAGAATCCCACCAACCTCCGAACAGCCTCAGTTTACAGCTTATCTACCTACCAGACTGTCTTTTCTGTTATCTTTCTGCCCCACCCCCCCAACAGCCACCATGTACATCCATTTTTTTTCAACACACAAATATACTATACTCTCCAGAGAGAGAGCCTTCTGCAGTACCATCCATTAGAATCCTTTGGAAATCAATTCCTGCTGCAGGATGTTTAGCCCGGGGCTGCCTGCTTCCTGGGGGATGGGAGGTACTGGGTCACTGAGCACGTGATGCTGCAAGTCCTGCAGGTCTTAAAGGGACCACTGGGGGTGGTCTGGTGAGTCTGATGGAAACACACACTGAGGCGGGGCTTGCTATGTGTGTGCCCTATTCCCTCTTCTTTTCCAGGTCTTAGTAAACATTGGCAACCATTTTGATCTCGCCTCCAGTATATTTGTAGCTCCGAGAAAAGGGATTTATAGCTTCAGCTTCCACGTGGTCAAAGTGTACAACAGACAGACCATCCAGGTGGGTCACCTGGACAGCTGGACCCTCCTGGCTTTGGACAAATAGTCAGGCCCTCTGTGAAGTGGGGAGGGCCAGGGAAGGGGCTGGCGGGGTTCTGGGAACCAGCTCAGTGCTCTGGGTCAGCTCCCCCGACACGTGGCTCCGTGACCAGGTAGGGGGTGGGTGAGATGAGAAAAGCAGATGGGCGTGGGGTTCTTGCGGTCGGCTGAGCTATGCCCTCTGCCTCGCAGGTCAGTCTAATGCAGAACGGCTACCCGGTGATCTCAGCGTTCGCAGGAGACCAAGACGTCACCAGAGAAGCTGCCAGCAACGGCGTCCTGCTGCTGATGGAGAGAGAGGATAAAGTCCACCTCAAACTGGAGAGGGGCAACCTTATGGGGGGTTGGAAGTACTCCACGTTCTCGGGCTTCTTGGTTTTCCCGCTATAAATGCAGAGCCTGCCCTGGACGGTGGGGACACGGCTGTCTGGACCCAGGAACCCACCCTTCCCAACCCCCCACCCCCTTGCTGGAACAGGACAACTTGTCTCCATCCTCCTCCCTCGGACTGTGGTGACAGAAGAGCGGCTTCCTTCGGAACCTCCAGCATTTTCTCTGAATATTGACCAATCCTCGGCGACCCGGCCCCTAATGAATTTTAGACGACACAGTCTTAAGGAGAAATGAAATGATCGATCGGAGCAATTTGTACCTGTGATTGTAAAGTCAATACGGGATTTCATTGTCGGGACCATTGACTTTTCCTCTGTTGTTTGTACGTGGTATTGTTGACCCCGTGGGAGGGGCGCCGCGGACCCCGGGATGGATCGCAGGCTGCCGGCTGGGCTCAAAGCAAGTGCCCCGCCGTTCGCCGCCCACCCGACAGCCCTTGAAACGTGTTCTCTGCGTGTCTGTTCAGCCTTAAGAAAAAGAATGGCTTCACTTTCATGCTGTATTTCCCCCACCCCGGGTGGATGGGAGTCCTCGGGAGGGGGAAGGGGACATTGTATCAAGAAGTGCTTTATCCGGAGAAGCAAATTTTGCACGATTGGACTGCAGCTTTTGTTTTGTATTGTTTGTCTATGTGTGTGTGGGCCCCCCCCCCCCCCCCGAAGCTTTACTTTTCTTCACACACAGCTCCTCCTCCTCGCCCCTGCTTTTCTCTTCTGTGCTGGGGTGGGGAGAGAAAAATGTGTGTTGGATTTCTGGAGGAGACCAAACACAAAACAAAAAATAACTGTGTATTTTGGATGAGACCAAACCAAACGAAAGGTAGAGCAAAGAGAAAATGACAGACGGACATTTCTGCTTATTCTTTAAAAGAGACTCTCTCAGAGGCACTTTTGGAAGTAACAACCTGGATTTTTTTTTTTTTTCAATTTACATTTTGAAATACTTTTTTTAAGAGACGAATGTTGCTGGGTGGCCTGAATCATGTCAGAGGAGAACGGAAGCTGTGATGACCAAGTTCCCAATCACGTGGTCTCTTTGCCGAGCGCAACTGGGTCTTCCTGGCAGAGTGCTTTTGTCCTTTGGATCCACCTCTGGGTGAGCACACCAATTAGGTGCCTCAGAATCAAGGGGACCAACCAGGTCTTCCCCCTCAGGATCCTCTTCTGATCTGCCCAGGCAGAGGGTGTGGATGCTCCCCGGGAGCACCTGGCGGGGAAGCCGCATGAAAATCGCAGTGGTTGAAGGTTATTGGCAGAGGCTCCCTAGAAGCAGTTTCCCAAATCCTCGTTGTTTGGCACCTGGTACAACAATATTATTTAAACACAGCTGAGAGTTGACGGGTGCAAGATTCCTCCGCCAAGGAAATGGCACTGATCCCAAAGCAATCAAAGAAGAGACCTCAAACCGGATGTTAATTTGTCCTTTGTGTAACAATGTAACCAAAATATTGATAAAAGTCATAATTTAAGATTCAGAATAAATGGGTTTGATGTCTGGCTTGCTCTCTCCCTCCAGCTCACCTCCCAACTCTCAAAATGTGTGTAAGGAAAGGCAAGGCTCAGGGGCGTGGGGAAATCAAACCCATACTGTTGCCTCTTTAGAAAACACACAGAAGAACACACACAAACATATGTGTATCTTGCTGGGGTCCAGATGGATAGTGCATCCTTAAATATCTATTTTTCACCCAGAAAGGTTTAGGGGGAGGCATTAAGTGACAAGGGCTTCCCTGGTGGCTCAGATGGTAAAGAATCCACCTGCAATGTGAGAGACCAGGGATTGATCCCTGGCTTGGGAAGATCCCCTGGAGAAGGGAATTGCAACCCACTCCAGTAGTATGGCCTGGAGAATTTCATGGATGGAGGAACCTGGCAGGTGACAGTCCATGGGGTCATAAAGAGTTGGACACAGCTGAGTTACTAACACTTTCAGTATCTAACAGTATTACATGAAAAAGACAGCATTAAAAAGATGTTATGGATATCAGTCTGCTTCTATCACATTAATCTTCAGTGTAGTACAAGGTCCAATCCAATATTTCAGTCAGACAGCACAGATATACCAGAAAGTCATTTGAAGATTGCATCAGTTGTTTGTAAGATGTGGATGAGGGTGGGATTCATTTTCAAATAAGAAATGCAATGGGGACTTTATACATGAAAAAATACAGTTGGGCTAGCCTTAGCTGAAGAAAGAGTGTGTAACAGGATGCAGAATTTGATTTATATAAAAATGCTGCTACATTGTGTAAGGGGAAAAAGCAACAAAAAAACATCAACCAAAAAGCATTTGGGGTATTTTGGCTCTTTGAATAGAAGACATAATTCTGACCAGAGCATTGTTTATTAATGCTGGTAACATACACAGCAGGATGGTAGCGAAGATTTTCCTCCGTTTTCTTGCCCTCAGTTATTTAGTCCTCTTTCCCTCATTTCCTAACCTTCTGTTCAGTTTAAAACAAAGAGCAGACAGTCCTCAGTAGGAGACAGTGTAGCACATCAGAGACTGAAATATATGCAAGTAGCTGTTATTTTTATTGCTCACTAATTTGTAATAGACATTTCCTCATAGTTATAAATTTATTACAGGTTGTCATTTGGGTATACTGCCTAATAAATAAGTTATTAAATTGATCTCTCTAAAAATAAGTATATTTCAGGAGTTGATTTTATATTAGGAAGGAAAGCTTTAGTGTTGTGTTTTTTGGTTTTTTTTTTTTTGAGATGGATGCCAAAAGGTGCATTAGGAAGAAGCCAGGACACTGGAGTTTCTGAAGTTGTTGATCATCCGCTGCTCCTGCCAAGTTTCTGTTTGGCTGAGGAATGTTGAGGGACATGAAGTTCCCGTGTATAGTCTACAAAAACATGTAGGTCAGATCAAAATTTGAAATGTATCTTTAATTGGAAAAAAGGGATGTCTATAATATTTGCAGCCTGATTTGAGCCGCCCCATCCCTGAGCTTGTTTTCCGATCTGTAGAGTTAAGTCATCACCCCTGCACCCTCTCCCCTTCCCCCAAGGTTATGTGAGGATCAGACAGAAATGTCAGAACCATAGGGGACCACGATAGAAAGAGGTATTAAGTCAGAGGGAGGGTGTTCTTGTAAGTCAGATTTTCCAACATGCAATTTATGAAAAAGATATATAAAACAAACACCCAACAGGAGGACACTTGAATGTGAAAGTTTTCCATATTCTCAAGAGCCTTTTAAAATTACAGCACTATATAGAAGTCTAATTTGATTTTTAAAAAGGGTGACAATAGAAACATATTAAAATCTATACATTTTCATGTTAATTAAAGTTCTTAGTTACGTTATTTTTCTTTTGTGGCTCAAGCCAACCTTTCTGTTCAAATACCTAGTCAATATTTTATACAAATATACAATTAACATTTTAACACAAGTAAAAAATGAAGTTCCAATATTACAGCATTATAATAATAAGTTGCTCTAGTTGATAAATGATAAATGTTAATGCTACTAAACTATAAATGATTTTTAAGACAATACTATTTTTTAACTTAAAATATATTCTAGTTTGAAATAGAATCCTGAAAATTCAACTTTAGGTCCTGAGAAACTGTTAAATATCTGTACTTAATATGTATTCATGTATAATGAAATTATTTCCATTTTTAAAAGTTGTACTTACCGTAGGTGCCCAGAGTAAAAGTGATACAAACATTGACTATTGGCATGAAAGCTCATGGGATCCTGTAGATATTACATAGATTTACTTGTTTGGAGAAAAGTATTTTAAGCTAAATCTAGTTATTTCATGCATCAGAAGAGTTAGAAAACATATACAAAGCAAACCAAATCTTTGACTGAATCCTTAATTTTGTTTGTAATTTTTCCTTGAAAATTACCTTATCAAGGAAATTGTTATCAATTCATACATGTAGTAACTATTATATGTATATGGTTTGCCTGTAAATACATGAACATATACAGCTGATATTTAGTATAGTGATATAAACTACATACATTGGCTACATTTTACTGGAATCTAGATATATGTGAGTGAAAATTTGATGAATCACTTTATACAAGCCAAACAAAAACATGGGTTGTTTCAGCATGCCTCATGTACAAAAAGAGCTAAGAATGTTCTGTCAATTTGTGACCCCGTAATTTTGCAGTCTTTTATAAGGAAATAAATATTGCAATAAGATAATATTGCTGTAAATAAATAGTTAATATTTATATTTCTACAGGGTAGGAAGCATATAACAATCTACTGCATAGATGCACTGGAATGAAAGGCTCTATTACCTTATATTTTAGGTGGTGTAAATAAATTATGGAACCCCTAGAAGCAAGTTACACTGAATCACTCTAAAGGTTTTACTGTGCACTCTGTGAAAACACTTGTTAAAAATGTGAAACTAGATTAACCATAGAACTGTGATGAGTTTTTGCCCTTTTGCCTTGCTTATGTAGGAGTTAACTTGTCATTGGGACTTTATTTCTAAAGCTAGCACTTTGCTACTAAGATGGGATATTACACTAAAATTTAAGATCAGAGCCTATAAATTCTCATGAGATTCTTAAAATTAATTTTCTCGACATTTAAGGAGCAAGCACACCAAATATACTGAAGTGAGTTAAAATACAATTTCCACTTTGGTTTTATGGTTTTTCAATTTTTGAATCTTTTTTTTTTTGGATTGATAACACTCTGAAGACATTAACGGATGATGGTCACATGTCACCTGTCGAATCTGTTTATGTACTTGCCTAGATTTTTAAAACACAGTTTTCACAGATTGATTTCACCAAAAGTATGTTTATTGCTTTTGCAAAAGGAGGGCGACAATTCACTCAATTTAGATATTTTAACAGTCTTATCTGTTACACAGCTGTCCCTGATGTGGTTGGTAAGATTCAGCCTTCACCTACCCCCTGAAAAAAAGAAAAGTACAGTCTTCTCACAATTCCTTTAAACCCAATGAATGTGATCTTTTGAAAAAATGGTATGTGTGTGTCTGTATAA